TTGAGCAAAGCTGCCATTCATCGACTGTTCAAAAGGCATCTCCAACTGCCTTTCTGATTCTGCCATTTGTCCTGGAGGCTGAACCACTTTCATTTCCCACCCGCTTCTGAGTTTGAGATGGTAGCGAAATGCTATAGACTGAATGTTTGTGTCTCTCCCAAATTCATATGATCAAACCTAATCCCCACTGTGATAGTACTGAGGTGGGGCCTTTGGGAGGTGATTAGGTTTAGATGAGGTCATCAGACTGAATCCCTCTTGATGGAATTGGTGTCCTTATAAGGGGATGCCTAGCTGAGAGCTCTCTCTCCACATGTGAGAATGTAGTAAAAAGACGGTCTGTAAACCAGGGAGCTAGAGCCCTCACCAAAAACTTTACCATGATGGTACCCTGATCTTGGACTTCAGTCTCTAGAAGTATGAGAAATAAACTGTTTAAGCCATGGTGGCCACTCTGTGGTGGTTTGTTAGAGTAGCCCAAACCAACTAAGGCACTGAGTAAGAAGACAAAGGAATTTAGAGGAGCCTCCACAATGATCAAAAATGAATTAAATAGCAGAAGTTACAAAAATGCCCATACTACACAAGTGCAGGGGAAGAGTGCAAGGTGGCCCATGTTTTCTAGAAAACAATGTGTACAAGCCATCTTCAGATTTATGACCATCAATACTAGCTTTGGTGATCATCTTTATTTATTGAAAAGTTAAAATAGGTATTATAAATGTTAATTCCTAGGGGAAACAAGTATATGTAGGAAAATAAAATTTAAAATACTTAAGAAAGAACAACAGTAAATTTAATATAATCATACATGGCTTAAGGGATTTGAGGACTATGTAAAAATACATATAACTCAGAAATTGCCCATCAGCATATAATATGTAAGTATGAAAAGGACACCTAAAATTCCATTTTCTCTTCTCTGTATCTTATATCTATACATATCCTAAGATATTTTCAAAATGTAGGCTCCACAGTGATCAGAAAGTTGATAATAACAGGCAATACTGTTATATTTTGGGTACTTGAATGATTTTACACATACATTTCATTTGAGTGTATCCCACAGTTACAGTCCCTGCTGTATGAACAGACTGCATATCTGATGGCATATAGCAAGTATCTCAACAAAAACATTGCACATCACTTTTGTACGACAAAGAGAAAACAATTTTGTAGATGCAGTCTTCCTACTATACATTGTCTGGAAGGTGTTTTAAGTCCTTTGCTACTATACTAATGAATGCTCGTGAACCATGTTTTACTCTGTTGTTTTGTATTCTAGAAAAACCAATTCTATGTTGACAATAACCTGTAGCCCACAGATGAGATGGGGAAAATGTAAGCAGATGGGACACATCTGGTAATCATAAACATTTCTTCATTAGTGTCATCAGATTTATATGTGCTATGTTTTTGTGAAAGGCTCTGACAGCGATCATATTTAATCTATATTTTAAACAATCAAACTGCTGGCCATTTTCATAGAGGTAGATCAATATGGACATGTAATACATATGGACTTTCTTTTTTTTTTGGTTATGATGGCTCCTTGTTGTTAATCATGTAATGTCAGTCACATCCAAATTCTTCCAACAGAATGGTAAGTGCATATTACCTATTCACCTAGAATTGGAATACGGGAAGATGTTATAGGATAGTGGAATCAAGGAATAGTTAAGTAAAGGAAATACAAATGTACTATTCCCAGCTATGCCATTTACCTTTGTGACCTTGAGCAATCCTGCACCTCAAACGCATCTATAAAGGAAGTGTAAGATCATGGGATACACCCATGAAACCATGCAAATGCCTATGGTAGAACTCAAACTATGGTCACACAAATAACACAAATTATTATAAATGATGATACTCCAAAGCATCAATATTCCCCAAATAAAAATGTACTATTAATTTCTAAATCTTGACTTACTATTGAGAAGATAGAATGACAGAAAAGCCTAAAAATATTTTTCTCATTCATTTTTCTGCCCGGATCTCAGAATTACTTTGAGGAAGCAAGTGCCTTTGTATGCAGACAAGCACTTTTGAAACTGTGATAGCATTAGAGTAATGAAGAACTGCCCATATTTATACCTCTATACTCAAAAGACTTTGGCCATGATTCCAGGTTTGCTTCTCCCCACAAATTCTAAAGAATGACCTCAGGCAAAGGCCAGGGCACAGGTGAGAGGAGGGCAGGGCAGGAGGGCTCTATGAAACCATCACCTGCCACAAATCCTCACTGCTACTAGAGGCCACTCTGCACAAACACATTTTAATAGAAACAATTCTTGCAAGTGAAGGATGCTAGTCTTATTTCATTAGTTATTAATAAAATAAATATTTCCCCACAGGATGCATACCCAACCAGAGGAAATAAATCTTTTAACAGTAAAATTATTCTAACATCATGGAGATTAACAAATGGCATGCCAGGTCCAGGACAAACGAAGTTTCACTTAGAATTTCAAAGTCACGACACCTCTGTTTTTATCATCCCATTCAGGATATGACCATGTGGACAACTGCAGGGCAATAGGTAGTCACCGATGCCAAGAAGGGCAAGACAAGATTGGGTAATAGACAAGAAAGGCATTAATGGATGGACTGTAAAAACAATTTATCAACACTAATGATCAAATCTAATAGAACAAAAGCAAGAGAGTCTGGGGACACGGGAAATTCAACATGAAAGTCACATCAAGGCTACTGAATACAGGTACCTTTATACCTTGGGTTTTGCCTTTTTCTTTCCTGACTTGGGACATGGGTTGTGCTTTGCTTCAGACCAGTAACTGTCAACTCCAGGTGCACCTTGGAGTCATCTGGGGAGCCCTGAATGTGGAACCTTGCCACACACCAATAAAGTAAGAATCCTGGTGTAGACCAGGCATTTTTTAAAAAATTCCCCAAGTGATTCTAGTGGGGTGAGGTCTCAGACTTTGCATTTGGACCTGGTTTTCAAAACAGCAGCTAGCTTTCTCCCTATGACATAACAGATTCTATTAATTTTTTATATTTTTTATTTAAATTCAATTAGCCAACATATAGTACATCATTAGTTTCAGATACAGATTCTCTTTAAAACAAAGTCTTTTACTTTGTAGCAGGAAGTAGTTAAAGATCCCCAACGCCTAAGGCAATGCTGAAGTTCAACCAAGAGCATCCCAAGCCCAGGACATTTGCAAAAACTAAAAGAGTAAATTGTATCCACAACTTGCCTATAAATTCTTGGGAATACCTAAGACTCTATTGAGGTGAGAGTTCAGACTTTATACTGTGTTCTCTGAAGTAACATTAACACAAATATCAGGAGCGCAAAACTATTTTCCATGAAAAATTAAGAATTCCAGAGATAAATCAAAGATGACAGGATAGTGTCATTTTTAAAAGGTAATTAATGCATTGTGGAAAATATCAATTAAAAATGTCTGTCTCATCAATTACCATACACAGCCCATCTTGATCCAGGTAAATACCAAACAACCACTAGCGAAGAAAACAATTTTCAGTCTCTAAGATCAAGATTCTAAAAGAACTGGGAAGTGGGATATAAAGGAAAAAACGAAGTCAAATACTAAAGATAAAGGTTGAGCACAGCAGTCATGGGCTGCAAAATCTCTTACAGTAGCAAGTACAAAACTTTTAGAGATAAAGAAATAAAGATGAATTTGGTGTCTGCATCAGTCCTCTGTGTACATTCCTCCTTCCTGGCCAGGGGATGTCTTCACTGGGACTTCAGGAAATGAGAAAACAGTGACATCAAGGTAGAAGGGTGAGGAATTGTGCAGTAGGTCCAAGAGTATTTAAGAATCCTTCTTCAGAATGCATTCCCCAGTTGTCAACATATTATTGACTAATCCTGGGATGGCACATTTGGCCGTCTTCCATTTTCCCCAGAAGTGAAGGAATAAAAACGATCTTTTATTTCAGTTGTGATGATTAAAGGGCAAGAGAAATTTCAAAGTTATAGAGTGTCATGCAAATTGACACGTCACGGTCACCATGACACCAGAGAAGAGGAGGGATGCTAGGAGGTGGAGAGGTGATAGGCAGAGGAAAGATCAGCCTGCGTGAAGTGAAGTCATGGGGCAACAGGACAGATGCACAAAAGAGTTAAATCACGAAGCAGCTCAGTAGCAAACTAAAACAAGTATATGATTAACCAAACTAAAACAAAACTAACTACAAGACGTACAAAGAAAGAGGGGTAGGTGGGAATCAACGCTAGTCACCATAAAGAGTGAGCATCCTGCAGATCAATACATAAAAGGAAGAAAGGAGAATGAAACTGGAGAAGGCCATGGGGTGGGGAGATGAAATTCAGAGCCCAAAGGAACGGGTGGCATTCCAGTTAGAGGGGATAGGTCACTTAATCCCACCCACTCTGTCAGAACTTGGGCAACTGTGCATACATCCATGAAACTATTTGCCATGCAAAATACATGTGGTGGAATTTGAAACCATAAAACAAGACACACAAATTGTGATTACACTAAAAATGTCTACTTAAATACTCAAAAGATGTGTTATTGATTTCTAAGTGGAGGCTTTTTTTTTCCTTGTGGGAATTCAAATTACAAAAAGGCCTCTACATGCATGCGTGTGTGTGTGTGTGTGTGTGTGTTCTGTGTGTGTGTGTGATGCTCTGGACAATTCTCAAGAGGAAGAGTATGGGAGAGCTCTATATTTGGTACTTTAATATCCTGCTCCACAAGTAATTTGACAACCACATCTTCAAAGCAAGATGGCTAAGCAGAAGCAAAGGAAAAAAACAAAAATTTAAAGAAAAAGGTCTGTGAAGAACAGGAGGCATTATCTAGAACTCTTAGGAATCTCACAACTTATCAATAAAGAAGGAAAGGAGGGGAGACAACTGTTGGCATCAATCATCCATCAGCAACCCAACACTGACCTGGACCCCTGAGCCCTTCCCCAGGGGGCATGCACTGCTGTCCCTGGACTCTCCCCAAACCGATGATGCTGAGTTACTATACCTGCAACCACAGCCTGTCACCCACCACGGTCCGGCCGATGGCGCTGCACTGGAAGGTGGCAAACTGGCCCGCATTGACTTCCACATTCTGAATCCGTAGGAAGTGGGGAGTTCTGGCTACATGAAGAGAAAGAATTAAAGATATTAGAAGTGGAGATCTGTCACTTACATGTGTCTTTTTTGAATCTATCTGCAATTTGGGGCCCTTCCATTTTGTTTACCTTTGAAGAAAATGCCTCTTTTGCTTATAAGAATGCTTTCAAGATCTCATTATGATTGTAAAAGAAAGGTATCATGGAAGGCTTTGGTGTACTCTGTGAAAGAACAGAAAAGCCAAGCATTCTGGGATAGAACCAAGAAGAAAGAAGATATTTTATTGTTCCTGCTGTGCAAATTATCATAGCTCAGCAGTCTTCTTGTAATAACACATCTGTATTAATAAAGATTACACTGAAGCCTAATTGATGTTTTGAACAAAAACATATTAGGTATTTATACTAGCAACATGAAAAGAACAGTAAGAAATTAAATGATGTTGTCAAGGAAACTTTTTTAAGCCAAGTACAAAGCTGTGCGTAATATATATTTTAATTCAACTAATTGGCATGCAGCATTACTTATGTAATATTTCCCAACTACCAAAAATACTATCCCCATAGACAGACTCTGTGGAATTATGTTGGGACTGCCACAGCATGGCAGTTTCTGCTGATTCTTATTCCCAATTCAAGAAGAAAGTATGATTCTAAATGCTAAATAACATTAAGTCTCATACATTGTCCATGGGGGACAACCCTCTGAGTAAAGGATAATTCTATTTGATCTGAGAAGCACAGACCAAATTTCTGCAACAGACTGAACACATGTGTGAAGGAACTGGAATGACAGGTCAGGAATTAAATTTTATGATAACCTCTATTTTTTAGGAAAAAGGCTCTTATCACAGCAATGACAGAGTAAAAGCAAGGGGCTGGGAGGAAGGAGGTTAGGGGGTAGAAAAGGAAGAGAACAGGATGGTGGTATTTTCTGACAGGGATGGATAAATCTTCTGGACAATACCTAGAATAAATTTCTTATGCCTTGCCAGGTTGTCCTCACCATCAACATGTCTTTAGGCCATGTCTAGATACCTTCAAACATGATAAACCAGCACTAATATTAGCCTATGCAGAACACAATTAGGAATAGAAGTGGGTTACGACCAAGAACAAAGAGAAATGCATTTTAATATCAGTAACACACAGGAAAAGCCCATTACTAATTTGGAGGCCACTAGTAATTCGCAAAGTGTATTCATGATGCTTAGCATGCAAAATGTCCTAAATAACTTCTAAAAAAGCAGTATAATATGGGTCATTGTTTATAATACATACATATATATATATTTTAATATTTTATTTATTTATTTGAGGGGGGGGGACACAAGCAGGGAGAGTGGGAGAGGGAGAAGCAGGTTCCCCACTGAGCAGGGAGCCTGATGAGGGACACGATCCCAGGACCCTGGCATCATGACCTGAGCAGAAGGCAGACGCTTAACGAATGAGCCACCCAGGCACCCCTCTAATACTAATATATTAATTTAAAGCCCTATGACCTATTTTTCATTATTTTAAATTATGCTTGGCCAAGAATAACATGATGTTGTGGTTTTTAAAGACCTCTGTAAAAAATCCCTAAATCAAATTTCTCTTTGTCTCTGTTCCCAAAAAAGCTGAAAGATGTTTTGTTTTTGAGAAAATGGCAAAAGGTGACATGTTTTGAGCATTTATGTGCCAGAAACTTTTCCACTGAACATTCATCAATGTTCTCTGAGGTATTTTTTTCCACTTTGCAGATGGGGGAACTTGTGGGTTCTTGCCTAGTAAGTGTTGGAATCAGATTGTGAACAGTTCCAAAGCCCAGGCACATTGAGTTGAATTCATATTATTTGAAATTAATAATAAAATTATTAAAAATTAATAAAATACATATTATTTTAAAATAATAAATGAATTCATATTATTTAAATTGAATTTGTATTACTCAATTAAATTGATTTTATATTCTTTAGAAATGTTTACTTGCAATTTCAACTTCTACAGAATTCTACTCTCCTAACCTCACCTCTGACACGAACAAACTTTTGCTACACAAAAATTCCTAAAAATTACTATTTTAGATTTCCCTATATTAGGGGTTCCCAATATTAATAGAAATCATTAAGAATTTGAGATTTGACTAAATTAACAGGACTAAATTGAAAGCAAGAAAGCTATTTGCTTGTCAAGGAAATATAAGCAAATGAAATAATCGTCTTCAAATCCAACACAGTATGTCCATTATGACACACCTGTCATCAACTAGAAACTGTTTCAACTGTTTTTCCCTTGTAAAATAATTCAAAGCACATTCCCCCTAGCCACACGGACATCAAACTATACCATGTACACAGCATTCAAGAAAGGAAGAAAGATGATGGAAGTGATAACTCCTCTGTTCACTCGTGTGTTTGTACAGCAATCTCTCTCTCTCTCTACCCTGCACTGCTGGCTCCTTAAGGAGCTGCTAGGTACATTTCCTGTCAACCGTCCTGAGCCACTGGGGGTCCCCTTTCAGGGGGTCCCCCAGTCACACAGCCCCAGCCCATCTACAGAAACTGCTCTCCTCAGATTACCAGCAAGCCCCTAACTGGCCCAACAGCCTTCATTCCTTCTCCTCCTGCCACTGAGTCCCAAGGAGAAATGCTTTCAGCCACACTGATCTTTTTCCAAAACTTCCCCGGTGACTAACATAACATTTAAAACAAAACAAAACAAAACAAAACAAAAAACCAACTTTCAAAATTCTACTTTCAAAGTCATTTTCCTGCAGCTTTTTCCTTCATTCATTCTTCTTTGTTCTCTTCCCCTAAATGTAGATTTGTCTCAGAATTAGGACTCAGCTCACTTCCCCTTTCAGAGTGTGTACGCCCTGGTAGGTGTCCTCCACCCCCACAGAGCAATGTGAGACTCTTAGGAAGAAGGAGCCTGCCACCCTTTAGCCGTGCAACACTCTTGTTGGCCACAAAGGAAGTCTTCCATTATCGGGAGCCTTGGAGCCACTCCAGTTAACTGTGTGCCCCCACAAGGGCAGTCAAGCCCCTCCAGAGTCAGACCTGACATCACGCCACACCCAAGACAGAGGGCATCCAGACCACAGCAAACCACAGCCACTGTATTCCCCATTGGTGAGCTGAGGGCTGGAGCCAGATCCACTGCTGGGGTCACACCAGGATGAAAGCTCACAAGCCAGGTGCACTCAGAAGCTGATAAATACTATGGGAACTGTTAGGAGTCCTAAGAAACACAGTTTGTTTTTTTTTAAAAATCAGACCCTTCAGTCCAGTGAAGGAAAACTGGGTCCCAGGGGAAAGACAAGGGCAATTGAGAATGATAGCTGACTTCAGATTTTGTGAGATGAACCCGGTATGCAGAAAGTACGGAGAGGCACGTTTCCCTAAGGGTGAAGACGAGTTTTTGAACAGCAACTGCCAGAACATGGTAGGAGCTGGCTAGTGAGGGAGCCATTTGTAGACACAGACTTCTCAGCTGGCTGGGCAGAGAGGTGGGTAGATGCGGAGGTGGGGTGCATTTGCAACTGGCATGCTACCGACTGTTGCCAGCTCTCAGCAGTTCGTTCTAGTCCAAGTAAGGGCCCTTGTCACCTCTCCCCCCACTGCCATGGTAGTATTCCACCTGTGGTAATGCAGTCCTTGCTTGCTTTCTCCGCATATTTTGGGTATGGGGGCTGCCTCTTCTGTGCCCTCTTTGGAGACACCTCTTGCATCCATGGGTAAACTATAAAAAGGCTTATGGTTTGAGTCACATTTAGAATTAGTATACTCTCTGAAGCTGGGTAGAATCCCAGGCTTCTTTGTTTAGAAGGTGCCTCTTGGGCTGGAAGCTCTTCTGTCAGGTTTTGGTTTTGGCCTCTCTCTTCGCCCTGTTTGGTCCTGCTCCTCTCATGGGAACTGCTCAGTCAGAGGGCGTGCCCCTTTCCAAATCACTGATGCCCACATGTTCCTGTCTGCATGACTCTGCAAAGGATAATTTAGAACTTCCATGGTTCCTTTGAGAAAAATCTCCCAAGCTGGCTCCCATGTACACTGAGCACCACCCCCACTCCCATACTCCGGTGGATTGTTTTAAAGACAGATTACCCTGCTCGTTCGACCAGCAGGACCTCTCACTAATGCTGCCCTCTCCTGTCCATCTCATGCCTCCTATCTCTGCTTGCCTCTTGCTAAAGGCCACCGTACTAAGTTGGGTCCCTAAGACAAGGTTTTTGAGTGTGCAGCCATCTCTCATGATAACTTCTGGGAAAGGGGTATTGCCCCTGAGGTGCTATTCTGCTGTTTCACCCACTTGGTAAGCCGAACGTCAGTTCCGAGCCTGTCCTAAAAGGTTGGGGAGCATTTTGAGTATCACCCCTGGTATTTCCTTACATAGTTAAGTTACTAAAAATTAAAAATCAAAAGTTTCCCCTAAAAATCCATTGCAAAATTTCCATGTGTTACTCATGTATGTCTTACGCCTTGGCTTTTTGCCCTGCAACCCCATCTATGACTCCTTCTCCTCCCACCTTTGTCTCCCTCCCCACTCCCCAAGGCCCCCAAGGATTTTCTCAAAATCCTTCTTGCTTTTTTTATGCACTACAAGTGAGTTCTCTTATATTTCTCAACCAGAAGGCCTAATCACAGTATGTGGGGACAACACAGTTTAGCGTCTACCTCTCCTCCTACAGATGCAGAAATTCAAGAAATATTCTCTTTCCTACAGTAACATTTCCTTTCCTGATATAACCATTAGAGATTTTCAGCCCTTCAAAAGCTTCTACACTTTCTGAGTGGCACAAGGGGAAAGCTAAAATACATTTAGTTTGAACATCAAGAGTAAGCTTCCCATGGGCTAAAATCGTTTACAGAAAATGAATTTCAAATCTTGAAATGTTTAATATCATTCCTTATCTAGCACGGCAGGAGAGTTATTTTGGAAGAGCAAGGGCGGGATATCCATATAGTTCTTTTTCTTTTTTTTAAATACTACAGCATGTTTCCAAACTGCCTGAGAAATAATATAATTCATTTTCCCCCAGATCTG